TAGCACCAATAACTGCTATAAAATATACATTGATACTGCTAAAGAAATATTGACCATAAGCAGACTCTAAAATAAAATCTTTACTATAAAAACCTGTCATGAAAGGGAATGCTACTAAACTAAGACTTGCTATTAATATAACTGTATATGTTAAAGGTAAAAATGAGATTAATCCCCCATATTTTCTTAAATCCTGATTATCACCAACTGCGTGTATAACTGCACCTGCTCCTAAAAATAACAATCCTTTATAAAAGGCATGATTCATTAAATGAAATATAGCTATATTATATGAAGATAAACCTATTGCAATAACCATCATACCTAACTGACTCATAGTTGAATAAGCTATAATTTTTTTGATATCTTGTTGGAACAATCCTATTAAAGAACTGAATACAGTAGTAACAGCACCTAGTCATAAACAAATTAATAATACAGTAGAACTGTACTCAATTAAAGGAGATGAACGTATTAATAAATAAACACCAGCTGTAACCATAGTAGCAGCGTGTATTAAGGCAGATACAGGAGTAGGACCTTCCATAGCCATAGGTAATCAAATATGTAAACCTACTTGAGAACTTTTAGCCATAGCACCTATTAATAAACATATACCTATTAATGTAATAATATTTTCATTGATATAAGGTGCTAATGAAAACACAACATTATAGTCTAAGTTACCTAAAGCTCATAAAAGCATAAACATACCTATTATAAGTAAAGCATCACCAACTCTATTTGTTAAAAATGCAGCTAAAGAACTTTGATTAGCCGCAATTCTAGTAAATCAGAAACTAACTAGTAAATATGAACATACACCCACACCTTCTCATCCTACAAACATTACTAAATAATTATCTCCTGTAACTAAGATTACCATCATAAAAGTAAATAAACTTAAATAACTAAAGAATCTTTGATTGTGTGGATCATGACTCATATAACCTATAGAGTAGAAGTGTACTAAACTACTAATTATTAAAACTGGTATCAACATTGATACAGTTAAACTGTCAAATTTAAAATTTCACATCATGTTAAACAACTCACTGTCTAATCATGGAAATAAACTTACAGATACAGGATTGTTGTTAAATCCTACTTCTAAGTAGCTAATAATAGCTAATATTGTTGTAATAATTATACTAGTACAACTTAAAAAACGACCACCTGTCACTCCGATTTTTCTACCAAAAAAACCAGTAACTATTGATCCTAATAAAGGTAAAATTATTATACTTAAATACATTATTGATATTCTATTGCAATACTTCCTCTTAATCTATAAAAAGCAACCAGTATAGCTAATCCTATTGCAGATTCAGCCCCTGCTATAACTATTATATAAACAGCATAAGTTTGCCCTATTATATCATCTAAATTTAAAGAACTTACCAATATTAAAAACGTAATAGATAATAACATTATTTCTATAGAAATAAGCATTAATATTATATTTTTTCTATTAAATATGAATCCTAAGATTCCTATTAAAAAAAGTACTAAAGTTAAACTCACTATTTTTTTTTATTTTTCAAATTATTCTTGATTTTTATTAACTCTTTAACAAGAAAGAAGTTAATTTAAACTATACCCTATACTAAGCTAGAATATACTTTAAAGAGTATTGTAGACTTGAACTACAATTTAAACATCCGTAGTGCTTTATTCTACCATTGAATTAATACTCTCTACTAAATTCAAAAATGAATTTAGTATCCATAAATATATTATTTTTATTATATGAATTTATTATATAAAAGTTTTAAACATTGTATAATCATGTTAAAAATTTAGGTAAACTTACTGATTCTATTACTATAGGCATTGAGCTATGTAATATACCACAGATTTCAGAACATTGACCATAAAATACTCCCTCTCTATTTATGTATGTAGAGAATTGATTTAATCTTCCAGGATAAGCATCACATTTAATACCTAAAGCGGGACAAGCATATGAATGTATAACGTCACCTGATGTAACAATAAATCTAATATTTGTAGATTCCGGTACAATTACTCTGTTATCCACTTCTAACATTCTTAATCCTCCTTCTTCAAGATCTGAATCTGGTACGATATAAGAATCAAATTCAATTAGTTCATCACTAGAATCTAAAAAGTCAGAATACTGGTAACTTCAATATCACTGATGTCCTTCAGCAATTATAGACATTGAAGGATCAATAACTTCATCCATTAAATATAGTAATCTAAAAGAGGGGAAAGCTATTAAAATTAAAACTACTGCTGGAGTTATTGTTCATATTAATTCAATAGTTGTACCATGATTTAAATATTTATGACTGATTTGTGTTTTAGAATAGATAAAATTAATTACAGTAGAAAACATAATTCAACCTACTGTAAATAATATTAATACTAAGTAAAACATTATACTGTCATGTAATTCTACTAGTCCTTCCATTTGGGGACTAGCACTGTCTTGGAAATAAACACCTCAAGGCGTAGGTGCGTCCAAGTTTACAAAACTGTTAAAAAATAAACTCATAAAAAAAAGTAAAAATGTGATTTCTATCTTTTAAATAGAATTAATAAAAAAAAAGATAGTTTCTTTAGTCTATATATACTATCAAAATATACTTGCTTTTTAAAATAAATTTTATTTTATACAACATATAATAGCAATAAGGCCATCATAAGAGCAAATAAGGCTGTTGCTTCAGAGAAGGCAAATCCTAATATAGAATAAGAAAATAATTGATTTTTTAAAGAAGGATTTCTTGCTACTCCTAAGATCAAACATCCAAATACGACACCTATACCTACTCCTGCGCCTGCCAGTCCTACAGTAGCTAAACCTGCCCCTATTAATTTTGAGGATTCTAACAAAAAAATTTTGTTAGTTAGTGAAATGCTTTAAATATTTACATCATGATCCAATTTCGTAATCTACGGATAGTTAATCCGCATTATTTAGGTATATACCACAAAGTTTGATAATTAAGTTTGTAGCCTATTTGTTTTCTACAAATTGACTTATAAAATTTTTCGATTTTAAATAATAGCTAGAAGATTGTCTACTATCTATTTTTAAGGCGCTTTTTCCTAATTCAAAGACAAAACCTACTGTTATGATACCAATAAATAAAAGTACAATGATTAGTCCATATATACCATTTTCATAGCTACTAAGACCAAAAGGAAAAATAACTAAAATTTCTAAATCTAATAATAGATATACTAAGGCAAAAATAAAGAATTTTACACCAAATTGAGTTCTATTTTGACCTAAGAAACTGTGAAATCCACATTCAAAAATACTATATTTTTCTTGGTAAGGATTATGAGGTGCTAATATAAAATTAAGTGCTAAAAAAAGTAAAGTAATTATAGACACTAAAATAAAAAGAAAAGTTATACTGCTCATTTAATTATTAAATAATATTTGTACCAATATGGTACCCATACTTAATCATTCTTTATTCATAAATAAAAATAATAATATTATTAATGTTATGTTTGAAATTATAAAAGAAATTGGACTCGAGATGTTTACATGCTGGATAGCATAGATTTTGTTATCTATCCCTGAAATAGAATAATTATTCTTGTTTTCAATTTTAGATTCTATACTATCAGGTAAGCTGAAAAACATTTCTTTTATAATTGTTAAATAATATATACCACCTATTACACTAGTTAATATAGCAACTAAAGACAAAAATACAAGACCACTATCTAAAGCTGCACTTAAAACCATTTGTTTAGCAAAAAATCCTACTAAAGGAGGTATACCTACGAAAGAAAAGATAGTTATACTTAAACTCAGACTTAAAATAGGATTTATAAAAAAATAACCTTTCAATTGATTTACTAATTGAATAGGAGAATTACTTTTTTCTAATAGTTTTTGATGTTCTTTATTTTCAATTGTATAATAATACAATGTATAACCAATAGCTAATAGTATTATAAAAGCATTTAAATTACTTATAGTATATTGAGTAAGATAAAATATAAATGCTTGAGTTGATTCTACTGTAGATATTCCTAAAGCTAATAATATAAATCCTACATGAGAAATAGTACTATAAGCAAATAGTCTTTTTATTCTGAATTGAGTTAAACCGACAATAGTCCCCACAACTAATGAAAATAAAGAAGTAATTAATAAAACATATGTTCAATTATTAGAAAAATTATTTTTAGTGTAATAAACTATTTGTAATAATAATATAAATATAGATATTTTAGCTATAATAGCTACAAATGTAGTAACTACTGTAGGTATTGCATCATACACATCAGGAGATCAGAAGTGAAATGGTGCTGCACTTACTTTAAATAAAAATCCTATTACAAATAATATAAGAGACATGTTAATAAAATTAGGCTTATATCATAAATTATTTAAAGTAAGATCACTTATATTTGTTATTATATAAATATTATCTAAACTTGTACTACCTGTATTAGAATATAATAATGCTGTACCTAATAATATAAAACATGAACTTAATCCTCCTAATAAAAAGTAAATTAATCCACCTGTAGTTGATAACTCTGAATTTCTGTATATAGTACTTAATATATATAAACCATAACTTTGAAGCTCTATAGCTAAAAAGATAGATATCAAGTCATTAGTTGAAATTAATAAAACAGCTCCACTAACAATAAATAATATTATTAAAGGATATTCTACTATTTTAAATTGATTAGATTTTTTCCCTAAGTTTATATAGTTGTGAACAATTTTGATTTTAGCTGGATAAAATGCAGTTAAAGTTAATATTAATCCTGAAATTAAAAATATAAATACATGAAATAAATTATTTAAATTTGTATAAAGTAATAAACCTCCATGTAGACCTATTGCTTTATTTAATATGTTAGCTGTAGCATAAGAAATTAATCCGCAGTAAAACAGACTAACTAAACTTACTCTGTTATAAAGAATAGCCATATCTCGTCGTAAATTCACGGCATTTGAAAGTAATATAAATAGAATAGAAAGTATTAACATTAGCCTGGTATAAGATTTGAACTTATATAAACAACGTATGAGATTGCTATTTTAACCATTAAACTAACCGGGCGAAAAACATGCTGTTGTAAAAAATATATATTGTAAGATCTATTATAGAATAAGGGTGAAAATTAGGATTCGAACCTAAAACCAACTATGCCACAAATAGTTACTCTACCTATTGAGCTATGTCCACCTTAATTATCATAGAGTGATTCGAACACTCAACCTCGAATACCAAAAATTCATGATCTACCTATTGATCTATATGATATTTTAATAATAAATAACTTAGAACATATATTAAATTTACAGATAATACGACTTGAACGTATAAGGCTTTCACCACTCTGGCCTAAACAGAGCCTGTTTTCCAAATTTCAGCATATCTGTTTTCTAGAAACCATATTGTTTATACAATTTTACACTAAAAAATATAAGACTTATAGGATTCGAACCTATATTTTGATGATTAAAAGTCATATGTATTTACCATTATACTAAAGTCTCTAAAGAAGGATAATTGATCTTTCTTTAAAAAGCCTTCCATAGGAAGGAAAAAGCTTTTATTTTTGGTTTCTATTTTTTTACAAATTAACATATAAAACTTGTAATTTATGAAGTCGTCCATATTTCACGGATTTGAGATAAACAATCTGAAGCTTGTTTTTGATCATGAAGATCCCAAAGATTAAAAGTATTTTTGTATACCTTTTCCGAGTCTTGGACCATAATATGCGATCATCTTTGACTATCGTAACTTAGTTCATCATCATGAATACTATCAAAAATTGCCATTTGAATCGAAAAGTTGTCCAGTCATACTACTATAGCTTCTTTATAACGTAGTCCGTCTACTCCTCTAGTTTTAAATATAGGATTTTTTAAAAATTCTCAAATTTCGTCTTTGAATCTTAAATCTATATTAGAAAGTAGATGAAATTTGTCAATACAATTACTATACGGTATTGATTCCATTAAATCCCTATTTGAATTAGCTAATATAATCAAACTATTTTTCTCCCCATGCTCGAATACAGTGTAACTACCTAGGTGGTACTTAATTGAAGACAAGATCTCTCTAGAATTCGGGAATGATTTAGGATAATAAAGAATACTTTGATATATATCTTTTTTAAAGATATTTAGCATATCTGATCTACCTCTACCCCCTATATCTTCGTCAAAAAAAAATAAATTAGTCTTCGGATCCGAATCCTCGGCAGCGTTAGCGAAACATGCAGCGAAGTGTTTAAGTACATTATTTAAATTAGAAAATAAGAAGCCAGGAGTAGTATCTTCAGGCCTATCTATGAATTTTTGAATATTAACGTCAGATGTGTATGTAGGATTAGTAATATTACTATATTTTACAATACCTGGAGCACTACAATAAAGTGGAATTCCCTTAGTTCATATTCTTTTAACCTGAGTATCTATAGTTAAATCATTTAAAGCAGGAATAGGTATTCACTTATTTAAATCTTCTATAGCAGTTGATAAATTAATAGGATCTATAGTACATTTAACTGAGTCCAAACTACGTGATAATTTTCTAGAGCTAATACTTAAGTAACCTTTACCTTCTTTTGCATATAATTGCCCCATTTCTCCCTTTCTATCATGGAAATACCTTAAATAGGAATTTTCATTAATATCACCTGGTAAAAATGAGTTTCACTTATTCACTAAATTGTTACGAACACTTGCACGAGATTCTGTAAATACCTGTGCCATGTTCCTAGGTAATTTTAATGATCCACTTAATTTAGCTAAATAAATATCAAAATCTGATAATTTATAGCCAGAATGATTCCCAAATCTCGACATTGATTCATTATGGGGTGGATAGTTAACTTCTAGATATCCAGCTCTATTTTTGTCCATATTTGGAAATATTCGGTTACCAAACACACTTTCCATTATTCTTATCCCTTTTAGTACACTATCGTTACCTTCAAGACGAATAGTAAGTCAAAATTTAGCGTAGTTACTAATAGTAGGCTCATATCCAATATTAATTATTACTCCTATTCTAGTTGGTAAACTATGGTCCAATATAGAAGCTGAAGTAAAAAATCCTCGAGAGTGATTAAACGTAAAAGATTCAATTGTTGGCTTATTAACTAATTTTGTTTCCTCAAACTGTCGCATAGCTAGACATTTACCTTGAATCTCTAAAGGTTTAGTACCTCAATAAGTAAGATGAGTTTTTCAATTAGTGTAATCTAGTAATTTTTCATTAACCGCTCCCTTAAGAAAACTTAAGGTATGAACTTCTTTATCTTCCCCATTAAACTTAATAACACTAGAATTAATTTCACCCTTTTCTGTAGAAAATACATGAACTAAATTTTCTGGAAGGGTATCAGAATAACAAAGTATAACACTGTTTGAAAAGGTTAATGTCTGATATATTCTATATAAAATAATCCCAAAAATCTCTCCAGTATAATGTATATTTATGTATAAAAAAACTAATATAAAGCAAATACTATAAATATTTATAGAATTAACTACATTTTCATTAAAAAAATGAAAATCTTCTTTTTTTATTGTTTGCTTAGTTATGTATTTAATAACTATATTTAGAGTGTAGCTCATAAAAGGTAATACTCAAAGTATAGATAAAAATATAGATATATAAGTTACTTCTCCAAAAAAAAACATAGTAAAAAAATTTCTAAGTAGAAATCTAGGCAAAGAAAAAATGATAATTATAAATAGGAGAATTCCAAGTGAGTAAAAACTGAAATTTCGTATTTTATCTTTACTAAACAAATGTTTTTCTATTATATTTTTACTAAAAAGATATGTAAATAATATGTTTAAAAAGGTTGCTAAAATAAATTTAGTTTGAGGTAAAAAATCTATCCAGGATACTTTTCCAAAAAAAATCTTAAATTTAGCAGGACAGTTCATGAAAAACTCTAAATAATCAAATTCTATAATTGAAATTACAGTAACATCGTACATAGTTAATACGGTTAAACTTTGCAATATAATGAACATGAATACTGATATGAGTATTCTCATTAAATAAAGTTTCATATAATGGATTATCTATTTATTATTTTTGTCTAAAATCATTTTTACATTTACAAATTCTATGACAACCAAAGCATTCAAAAATAGATTTAATAGTCGGACTTGGATATAAGGGTCAGGGATCCAATGAGTAGTATTGCTCGGGATTGTAAGATCCACAGATCTTTAGAATTTGTTGTGCTCGCGATAGGATTTGAACCTACAACCTAAACAACTTCAACGTTCCGCTCGACCAATTGAGCTTCACAAGCTTATATTCTATTTAAAACAAATCAATTAACTTTGTCCCTTTAAACTAAATTGGAGATACTAGGATTCGAACCTAGGCTTTCAACATGCAACGTCGACATTCTACCAACTGAATCATATCCCCTTTATTATATTTTAGATAATAAATATTTTGTGTAACAAAATATTATACATTAAAAATTAAATTACTCATTGAATAATCCAATACATTTAATATTATTGATGGATATACTCCCAATACTACTGTAAATACTACTAGTATAAATAACATGATAAATTCTCTTTTATTTAAATCTAATACACCTTGTTCTATAAATTTACTAAAAGATCCTCCAAAAGATATTCTATTAAATAAATATATACTATAAGCAGCTGAAAATACTATAGAAGAACATGCTAATAAACCTAATAATGGTAATTTCTCAAATACTCCATATAAAGACATAAATTCTCCTATGAAATTAATAGTTAAAGGAGCACCACAATTACCCAATGATAATATAAAGAATAATATAGCAAATATAGGCATTAGTTGAGCTATTCCTCTATAAAAGTATATACTTCTTGTACCTGTTCTGTCATAAAGAACACCACCAGCTGCTATAAATAAACCACTAGATACAAAACCATGTGCTAAACCTAATACTATACTACCTTCTAATCCTTGGATAGTATTACTAAAAATACCTATTAAATAAACAGATGCGTGACAAACTGAACTATAGGCAATTAATTCTTTTATATCTGTTGTTCTTAGTGTACTAAAACTAGCATATATTATAGTTATAACACCTATAGTATATATAATAAAAGTATAATTTAAAGAAGCTTTTGGTAAGATAGGTAATATCAATCTAAATATACCGTATAAACTTAATTTTAAAACAATAGCTGCTAAAACAATACTTCCACCTAAAGGAGATTCAACGTGAGCTTTTAATAATCAATTATTTAAAAATATTGTTGGAGTTTTTACAGCAAAAGCTATAAATATTCCTATAAATAAAACTTTTTGTGTATTAAACTCAAAGTTTAACTTGAATAAAGTATCAAAATCTGTTGTTCCCATTGCAGAAGATGTGCTTAAAATAGATAATAATAAAAATAACGATCCTCATAATGTATATAAGAAGATATAATAACTAGCATTCACTTTATTATCTGACCCAAATATTCCTATTAATATAAATAGAGGTGGTAATATACTTTCAAAAAATATATAAAATAACATAATGTCTAAAACCATAAATACCATTAATAATAATGTTTCTAATAATAACATTATTATTAGGTATGATTTAACATTTTCTTTAATAGAATCTCAATTTGCTAGTAATGCTATAGGCATTATTATTGTAGTCAATAATACAAAAAATATTGAGACCCCATCTATACCTAAGTATATATCAAACAATTGTGTATTGTAATGCTCTTGTACAAATTGAAATTGATTTGTACTATTATTAAATAATAAAAATATAATTAAAGATATTATTAAATTTAATATACTAGTAGCTAGAGCCACCATTTGTTCTATTTTTTTAGCATTAATACTAGATATAATGACTATACCTATTATAGGTATGATAACTAAAGTAGATAATAACATGAAATGAAAAATAAAAATGTAAATATTTTAATAATATCACCATATATATGGAGTTTATGGCTAAATATATTATATATGAAGTTTATGGGTATATATAATATACTTCTTTAAGCTTAATTATTATTTAAACTGTAGTTGTCCGAAAAAGGACTTGAACCTTTAAGACTTTCGTCAACAAATTTTAAATTTGTCATGTTTACCAATTTCATCACTCGGACTTCGTTTTCTGTCTAGAGTACATTCTATTTATTATGAATAGTCAGAATTGAACTGACACACCTCGATTGGAAGTCGATAAGTCTACCATTAACCTATACTCACTTTTATACCTATCAAAAGACTTGAACTTTTATAATTACTGTTATGAGCAGTATACTTTACCAATTAAGCTAAACAGGCTATCAATAATATATTGATATAATAAAATGGATTATTACAAATACTTCTATGCAATTTTATAAAAAAGTCTAGTACTATTTAATATTTTTATACGCAAGTAAAGGGTTCGCACCTTCATAAATTCCGGACATGAGCCGAACGTGTAAACTATTCCACCAACTTACTTTAGACTAGACAGGAATTGAACCTGCTAAGGTAGCATTGAAAGAGCTATGTCGAACCATTTGACTTCTAATCCCCCCTTGTCTTTTTAAGCTCAGTGCAAGTATTGCACTTGCTTCAATTGATTACAAAACAATTACATTACTTTTATGCTAACCAAGCTTTAAAAATAAACTAGATATATGTATAAATAGTAATATATAAAATTAGTATTTTGTTCTTAAAAATTTCTAAATTCTTACAAATAAAACCTATAACATTTTTCGTATTATTCTAATACGTATATTTAAGAAATATCTTAAGATAAGCCTCGTGCCTATATGCTTTCAGCACTTATCTTTAACCAACTTAGCGTCCCTGCCGTGCCTATACTATATATTTATCTTAGTGAGAGAAACATTCCCTTAATGTTATAAGATTATAACATTATTTATCGAGTTTTCGATAGTCTTAATATTAGGGACATATAAACAACAGGTAAACCATAGGTTAGTAACTATTATTTCATCTAAAACTAGAATTAACTAATCTTAGACTAAATCATTCTTGTTCCTTTCGTACAAAAGTTCGTTCTTATTTTATTCTAATTCCCCCTAGAAGATAGAAACCATACTGTCTCACGACGTATTTAACCCAGCTCATGTAACTTTTTAATCGACGAACAGTCGCACCCTACATAGTTCCTGCATCCATGAGGATAAGTTAAGCCGACATCGAGGTGCCAAACCGCGCACTCATTTTGTACACTCTTGCGCAAATTAGCCTGTTCTGTGTGTTATCATATTAATGATACTTCCCTTTTTTGCAAAAGGGTTCAGACTATGTCTTCATTTTGAATTTTTATAATTTAATAGTTTGTTTAATAAAATTTATTTACCAGCTATTCAACCTTTAACAGCAAAAGCTCCAATACGTCTTTTAGATGCTAAAACTGAATAGGCAGTATTTGATTTAACATTTCCTCTAAATAAGGTTGTACTTATTTTTTGGAAAGAAGAATCAATATTTTTTAGTCCTCCTTTTCAACGTAATGAATAAATTGATCGGTCAGCTCTATATCGTTTAGTTAATCTACCTTTTATTTCTATTCTAATTCCACCTAAATTTTTGTACTTAATTGAATTATATATATCTTCAGAGATATTCTTGCTATTATTATTAATAGTGTTTAAAACTTTGTCGAAACTTGTTGTTTTTAGATTAGAAATAATTTTTAAATTATTATACTTGTTTTTATAAATATCCATACTTCTTTTTACATATGTTCTTTCTTTTATAGTATTTGTTTTAGGTAAATGAGTTCTATTTAAAACTCTAGACATTTCTTTTAAACGTCTAATATTTTTTCTTTTTAATTTTAAAGCAATGATATTAGTAAATAAATCAGGATTATTAACAAAATATTTTAAATTTACAATATTATATTCTATTTTTTTATTTTTTAATATTCTAATTTTATTTAAAATATTACTTAAAACACGTAACATATTTAATTTATTAAATTTAAAAGTATTTAAAGAATACAGTAAACTATGGCTTCTTAATTTTTTCATATGGAATTCTAAATAACGAGCTATTAATTTACTTCATACTTTTTTTAAATAAATATATTTTAATTTTTTCAATTTATTGAAATTATCTAATTTTAGTTTTAAATATAAATCTTTTCGTATAAAACTAGGAATAAATTTATATCTATTATTTAATATTACATAAATTCTATGTATAAATCTTATATTTCGTCTATATAGTCTAAAAAATTTTGTTATCAATTTTTCATTTATAGCATAATTCATTTTTAAATACTTTTCTTTTAATATATTTTTTTCTCTGTTTAAAATATATAGAGTTATAATAATTTTATTATTAGTATGTTTAATTTCAGCATTACTTGTAAAAATTCTTCTTAAAAAGTTACGTCTTCTTTTAAGTAATATAAATTTAGACATACCAGAAAATTTACGGTTTTTAAAAAACAAATTAAAATAACTTCGTATAATCTTATTTATATTATCTGTGAAAGTAGGTATATTACTTAATATATTTTTATCGAAAGAATATATTGTATTAATTCATTCTTTAGAAAAAGAAGGTAAATACTTCGCATATCCTACCTCATCTTTTTTTACTTTAAATTTAATAATTTTAGAGTTATTTTTTAAATTATGTTTAAAAATTTTGTTATTATTCATAAAAAATTGAATTTATTTTATCTTATTGAACTTAAATTATAAAATTCAAAATGTTGGATAGTTAAAAGGGATTATTGTTTAATTGATTAAAAAATCTAACATATTACTCACCCTATAGTCGTTGAACGTTTTTATCTTACTATATGTTAAAATAAAATTCGCTTCAAGTTTACTAAATAGTAATTCTTGAAATTTACCCAATTTATATTAATTATTTTTTACTTTTATAAATAAAAAATATTATAGGACAAACATCCCTAGCGTAGCTTTTCCTATAATCCAAGATCTTTCCTTATTGTATCTTGTGATCCTATGCCCTGCTTACGCAACTGTAAGATTTGTTGATAATCAAACAGTAAGGCAGGATTTAGCCGTTGAGCTTTTTAGATGTAAACAAAGATTATTTAAAATAATCAAAAAAAGATTAAAAGAACTTGTGCCTTTATAATATTTTTAACATCTCTACTTTCAATGTAGTAAAAATCCTACCTAATTTTAAATATATATATATTAGATATAGATATATTTAATTTAAAATGATCAAGAATAATTTCTTTATTCAAGATAGCAAACTAAATAATAATATATTTTTAGACACTCCTGTTTACTCTTTACAGGGTCTGTGCCCCACATAAACTGTCTCCTAGCGATAGTTTCTCACCAAGGGTACTTACTTACTATTACATAAATAAGCTGAACTAGGTTAATTTACTACTAGAAAAGAATTTTAGACTAAATTTTACTTCAGAATAAAAAATCCAAACTAGTCCTAAATTAGTTCATTCAAATGAAAAGAAAATAAAGGTTTTCCATATTTATCAATCGATTACCTTATAATCTGAAAATTGCTTAACATAATCTATAATTAGTGACAGTAAAGCTGCATAGGGTCTTCTCGTCTAACTAGAGGTAAGCTGTATCTGCACAGCTATTCCAATTTCACTGAGTCAATCATAGAGACAGCTGTTGTATCGTTACACCATTCATGCAAGACCGCATTTAACGGCCAAGGCATTTAGCTACCTTAGGACCCTCACGTTAAGGCCGCCTTTAACCGGGGTTTCCGTCAACATTAGATAGTAGTATACCTAGTTGTCTCTGTTAACCAGCCGGCACCGGGCAGATCTCACACTTTATACTTAGATTTTTAATCTTTCAGCAAAGTGCTGTGTTTTAATTAAACAGTCGTACAACACTATTTCATGCTTCTTCCTTTTTACTTGATATTAATCAAGAATAATGAGCCCTCCTTATTCCGAAGTTACGGTAGTCAATTTGCCGAGTTCCTTTATGATTGTTAGCTCATTTACGCCTTCGTATTCTCTACTAGCTTACTTGTTTCAGAATCTAGGTACGGTTATTCTCGTTATATCCTTATTCTATTGAATAATTAGTATAATCGTATTACTATTTTTCCAGTACATTTTACACTAAAATGTCGTCCTTAGTAATAAAGATTTCTCATCGTTTAAACCTTTAGATAATTTTAAACTTAGAGGCCGTTACTTAATATCATCCATAAGCTTTAGGCGGAAAAATTAAATTTTTCTTTTAGTTACTCATGTCACCATTCTCACTTGAATTTCATTCTTTAATATTTAGAAAAGATCTGTTAATTTTTGTACCTAAGAAATATTACTCTTTGTCAGTTAAAATCTCTTTTAACTTATAATAAAACCTAGAATTAAAAAATCTTTTTAAATATAATATTTACTTTTATTTAAAAAATAGAAGTCTTAGTTTAATTCAACGTTCTGCTACCCCATATAATTAAAAATTCATTTTACCTTATATGGACAAGGTTTCGGTATATTGTTTAGATCCGTTAAATTTTCGATGCTTCTACAACTTAACAAGCGCTCTGTTACGAGGTCATAAAATTATGGCTGCTTCTAAGCCTATCTCCTTGTCGACTTAAATAAAAACTTTCTTAATTTCACTTAACTAATAATTTAGGAACCTTAACTCTTGTTCTGGGCTGTTTCCCTTTTGACATACAACCTTATCATTCTATGTCTGATAATTTAACATACATCTTTGCCATTCCGAGTCTACATACTCACTGATAAAATCTTCACGATCCCCCAATTTGTACAATATAGAACAAAAACTAGTAGTTTTTGTCTTGTCTGAGATTAAATTCTGTACCTGCTAAGATGTTTAATTAAATTGCCTACTATTATAGGTTTCGCAGAAAACCAGCTATCCTAGTCAGTATTGTCTTTCACTATACCTACCATAATTCTTCGGATATTTTTGCTACAATATTCCGTTCGGACTTTTATAATCCTGATTATGGTAAAATCACCAGGCTTCGGGTCTAACTTTAGATACTAATACCGTTATTTTAACGCTCGGTTTAACTACGTATTTACTCGCATCTAATGTTAACTTGGTGACCCATTATGCAAAAGGTACGTTTTTTATTTCAAACTGCTTATAAAATAACTATTTTTATTTGTTCCCTCACGGTACTCTATTCTATAGCTCATGTATTATATTTAGTCTTTGAGGAAGGTTCCCCATAGTATTCAAACTGTTTAGATACCATTTTACTTTTTAGACTTCTCCACTTTCGCTCACACTATTCATGGAATCTCTTTTGATTTCTTTTCCTAAAGTTACTAAGATATTTCAATTCACTTTGTTTATTATTAAATTTCTCTTAGAGTTTATATTATTATAATTAATTATATTAATAATGATTTCTCTTTAATACATAGCTAAAACTCCATAACTATTTCTTTGTATACTTATTTTTATACATTTAAATTATATATATCTAGTTATATTGCTTATTACTAATGCTTCTAAGTTTTTTTTATCGGGTTACTAAGATTCGAACTTAGGGTATCTTTCTCCCAAAGAAAGCGCTTTACCACTCAGCCATAATCCGTAAATACTAGTTTTATAAAATTATATTAATTCAAGAGTACTTGGATTTGAACCAAGAAATTGAAGGTTGAAGCTTCCTATTTTGCCTATTAAATTATGCTCTTATAAACAGAGAATATCCGATTTGAACGGATGCAGTTTATACAACTTAATAAAACTCAAACTTACCGCCTTAAACCACTCAGCCAATTCTCTATGAGTTTTCATTTTAATTCTTTTAAGATTTGAACTTAAATTTCATTCTTATCAAAAATGCACTTTACCATTAAGTTAAAGAATCCCTAAGGAGTAAAGGATTTGAACCTTTAACAAACTGTGTGTAAAACAGACATTCTACCGTTGAATTAACTCCTCTGCAACTTTTTTGTTATCTATAGTTATCACTATAGCACCTACCATTGCTAGTAGTAAAATAAAACTGGCCATAAATAGTCATATATTATAACTTGTATATAATATATTACCTATAGCAGAGATGTGACTTGTTTCATTTATATTACCATCCCATGAATTACTTGAAACAAACCTTGATGCATTATTATAATCTAAATCTATAAATTGTTTATTATTTAAATTTGAATATATACTATTATTTATTCGGTTAGTATAATTATTTAAAATTGCAATAGAATAAGGTAGTACCTCAAAAACTACAAAATTAATTAACAATACAATAAATAAAGCTAAAGGTATACTGTTAGAATTATTACTTTGTAATTCACTACTACGAATATTAATTAACATCAAGATAAATAAAAATAATATAGACACTGCACCTATATATACTATCAAGTAAGAAAACCCTATAAAGGTTAAACCACAGAAAATAAGATAAACAGCTATAAATCCAAACAATGCAATTAAACAGATTAAAGATTGTATTGGATTTTTGGTAGTAATAACAGCTATACCTGCCCCTAAAGCTAATAAACTTAATCCATCTAAAGATTTTACATCAAACCCATTACTAATAGATTCTAGTACGGTAAATAATTCGTTCATTCCGTTATTTTTTTTTCAAAGTTAATTATTGTTTTTTTTTATTTATTAAATTTTGTAGTGCAAGACTAAAGCAAGAATACGTTCGGAAAAAAGGTGATTTGAACACCTAAGTGTATTAACACAATACATAGCAAGTATCTTACCTTACCAATGGAGATTTTTCCTATGTAAAAGTCTCTAAGATGAATCGAACATCTATCATAGTATTAACAGTACTATGCTCTACCGTTGAGCTATAGAAACTTAAAGACATAATCTCTTATGCCTTTAACTATCAACTATTAAGTATTTTCCAAAAGTTTCCTTTAGTAATTTAGAGAAAAAAGGTAGTTTTAATAGATTAGTTAGTTTCTTATCCAAAGATGTCTACGATATTTTTCTACTCCTATTGAGACATGAGATTCTATTTGTATAGGACCATATTCAAATGCTTTTTTAGCTAGAAGAATTTGCTTATTTAAATCTTGAAGATTTTTCATTCCTTCTTTATATAAAGATATGCATTTTTTAGTATTATCTTCCTCCTTTGATATACTTAAAAATACATTATTATATAATTTTTGTTGAATTAATTTTTATTTAATCTTAATAGTTTCTTTGTCAAACTAATTTATGTATACTCTCTATGGAAAATATCCTCAAGTACATAAACAACGCCTGAGTTATACATAGCATGGATACTTTCATCTAGTATGTAATACAGAAATAAGCGGAATAACTATATTTTTAATATTCTTTACAGTAGGTTGAGTTATGTTTTTGGTTTTATCAATTCCTTTAAATCTATTCTTTTTGTTTTTTGTTAGAATCTATACAATTATATGAATACAGGGGAGGCTAACTAGATAGTTAAGAACCTCAGTAATACATAGATATGTATAAAAATAGTCATACGACATCCACGAAATGTCAGTATAAAATTCCGGCTTCGTAACCTAAATGGTGATGATCTGTTAAATGATATGCATATATTCTTCATAAAGCAACACCTAAAAAGATTGTACCTATTATAACATGGAATCCGTGAAAACCTGTACCAAAGAAGAAACATGCTCCAAATACACCATCACTAATTGTGAAAGAAGATACATTATATTCTATTCCTTGGAATACTGTAAATATCATTGCAAGTACTACTGTAAAAATAGATCCATATAAAGCACCTTTTCTTTCACCTTTAATTAAAGAATGGTGAGCATAAGTTATAGTAGCTCCACTTGATAATAGTATTACAGTATTTAATAAAGGTAATTCAAAAGGATTAACAGGTTCTATACCCATTGGTGGTCATTGACTACCTAATTCTACTGTAGGTGTTAAAGCACTGTGGAAAAAGGCTCAGAAGATAGCTAAAAAGAACATAACTTCAGATATTATAAATAATATCACACCCATGTTTAATCCTTTTTGTACAGCTAAAGTATGATTACCAAGGTATGTACCTTCAGCTATTATATCCTTAAATCATAATGACATAGATGAAATAACTAAAAATAAGCTGATATAAAAAAATATATAGCTATTTGAGAATAAATGCATAGCAAAAACTGCATTTATTGTTAACCCTAGTAAAGATATACTAGTATATAAGGGTCAGGGACTAGGTGACACCAGGTGAAATGGATGGTCTTGAAAATGACTTCTATCTAGATATGTCATATATGAGTATTTATTTATTATTTTTGTCTAAAATCATTTTTACAATCATAAATTGTATTTCTAAAAGGTAAAACCCCCTAGAGTAAGGACTTGTAAACAAATCCTTAGTGTTCGAACTAGACCAGATTCGAACCGATATCTCTTTCCGTGACAAGGAAATTCTCTACCAAATTGAGTTACTAGTTCTAGGAGACAAGAGATTCGAACTCTTAAAAGCTTTAGCTATTGAGTTTACAGCTCAACCCTTCTTACCTATAAAGGAACCCTCCTTCACAATAATCCTTCTAGGTTTATATTAGTTAAATTTTATGATTCCCGTGCAACTTCCACTACACGAACCGTATTTCGACTTTACACTAATTAGAACCACGCATACGAAGATTTTTACTAAAAGAAAACAAACTACTTATAGTTTTTACAATATAGTAAAAAAGCAAACTTATTGCGCACGTTCCTTTCAGCATGTGACGAGTGGTTAGTACCAATCCAAAGGTATATTCACCGTGTCATGGTGATTCACGATTACTAGTAATTACTTATTCATATAGTCGAATTCCAGACTACAATCCTTTTTATATCCTATTTTTTGAGATTAGCTAGAATTCACATTTTTGCTTCTCTTTGTTTAGGTATATGTGGCACGTCTATAGCCCACAATATCAAGGCCATGATGACTTGTCTTAGTCCCTCCTATTTTCGCCAAGTATTTTGGAAAAATAAACTTTATCGTAAAAAAAAAATAAAGTATGGGATTTCGTTAATTTTATGGAAACCATAGTTTCACAACATTAACTGAAAACAGCCGTGCAACTCCTGTAATATATTTATTATTCAAATTGTGGTAAGGTTTTTCGTGGATCATCGAATTAAACAACATACTTCACTACTGGGGTTAGAAACGGTCTAGTGATTTCAGTTCCTGCGTTGCCACATTACTCTTGAGGTGAAATGCTTACACTTTCATTTATAGTTTGAATAAATTTATTCAACCCATGGCATTCATAATTTACTGCAAAGACTACTTGGGTATCTAATCCTTTTTGTTATCTATGCCTTCGTCCCTCAACGTCAGTTTTTACATAAAGGGCTGCCTGCGCCTTTACCGAGTCCCCTTTGGTATCACGAAATTTTATCTTTCCTCCTCAAGTACTGCCCCCTTACATAGAAAACTCTAGTCTTATATTAACATTTTTACAAGATATATCGACCGTTTAGGTACCCTTTAAACCTAATTAAGATGAATAACACTAGTCTCTTACGTATTACCGCGACTGCTGGCACGCAATTAGTCAAGACGGTATATATATACTGTCATTATCAGTATATAAACAAAGCTTCATTCAAAATTAATAGAACTTTTATATTCTCGTGTTAAAAAACACATATAAAAGCTTATCACTTCTCCAAGTTGCCAGTTCAGCCGTTAGGCCATTGACCAATATTCCTCACTGCTGTACTAATATGCATTGGGATTTTTTCAGACCCAATGTGGTCGATCAACCTTTCAGTTTCGACTACGAGAGTTGTAGGCTAGTTAAGCCATCACCTTAACTACTACCTGTCTCGGAAATATTCATTGTCCTCTTAAAGCGGAGATAATTATCTCCTTTTTAATAAAGAATTTAGCTTTACTTTAAGGTCGGCGGAGAATATATTTATACTCACCTGTACACCACTTTTTAACTTAGAAAAATTAAAACGTTCGATTAGCATGTGTCAAGCACTTGGACAGCATTCAATCAGAGCCATCACCAAACTCAATTTATAAAATATTTATTCATAACCGAAAGGTTACTAATATAATAAATATTACTATTTCATCTACGCAAGTAATAATAGAGGTTAATAAACTATTTATTGTTATATTCACTTTATAATAAATGTTCAAAGTAAAAATAGTCTGTACGCTTATTTTATGTATTTACTATAATTAATTATATTATTTAATTTCTCTTTTTATTTTTTCTTTATTTTTAATGTTTTATATAAATGTACTTTATAGTTGTTATAATTTTCCATAACCCCTATTATACATTTCTTTTTCTTAAATTAAGTATTTGATTATTTAAAATTAATGTAAATCTAACCCGTCTTTTATATAAGAAGATGATAATACAACAAAAACTTGTGCTTGGATAAAAGCTATAGCTAATTCTAAACCAGAAAAAGCTATAATAAATAATAAAGGTATTAATCCTAATATGAAGAATATAATTCCTGAATTCATAATATTATAAACAAATCCACTTAATATACTTAATAACATATGACCAGCTGTAATGTTAGCTGCTAATCTTAGTCCTAAAGAAACATTTCTAGCTAAGTATGATATTAGTTCTATAGTTACTAATAATGGTAATAAAGCTAAAGGACAACCTGCTGGAACAAATAAAGAAAAAAATTTTAAACCATGTCTTTGGAATCCTAAAATAGTAGCACCTAAAACTATAGTGAAACTTAAAGCAAATGTAAGAGCAAAATGACCTGTAGAAGCAAAACTATATGGAATCATACCAATTAAATTATTTATTAAA